CAGAAGACCGATGATGAAAACCCAGAAACTTCATATTCAAATGTCAGCATCTGGGAATCCAACAATCAAGCGCTTCCACAGGAGTTAATGGCTACAAAAGGACAAAGAAATTGTGAAAAACTAGATAAAAGATCAGTTAGAAAAAGGTAGTAAACCTCAAACATCAACTAGAAAATCGCAGACTCAAGAACTATACAGCACACATTATAGAAAAAGCAAAGCAGGAATTAGTAAAAAAAACTAAAATAAGTCAATCCCTTTTTACAGGCTCAACAAGAGTATAGAGAGCAAGTTAGTGTTTGAGAGGAACATATTGCTTCAATAAGAAGTCAGACAGAACTGAGAATGAATGGATCTAGAATCTGAATTTTCTAAAATGAAAACTTCTCAAAGTGATTCTTAGAAAACAGAAATAGAAAAACACAAACAATTCTATCTTCCAGACTTGCAAGTTAGAAGGGAAATGTCAAGTAATCTAGACAAAACTCAGAGAATGGTGCAAAACCAGTTGTGAAAAACAAAAGAATGAACCATTCTTTACACAACTGCCTCCCCCATCAGACCAGGCCTTAGAGGCAGCTTGTATAAAAAGAACTGCTCAAATTGGTTCTATTGTTTAGTAGAAATCTTCACCCAGAGAATATATTGGGTTCTACCACAAGTTGGAACCAGAATCCAGTTGACAACATAGATATCTACTTGGCTAAAATGCAGGCGTTGCAAAAAACATATCAAATAGAGGAAGCCGCTGTTGAATTCAAATCAAATTTGAATTCAAACCTCTTCTCTAAGAACTAGGAATCACTTCAAGTAAATTGAGGTCTAGTATTGAAAATGTCCCAAGGACTCAAGTAGAAAGAAAATGTTTTGAAAATAATGGCAACATATGTACAAATGTGCTTGATACAACAGATGGATGGATGGATTGTACTAAGAGCTGTATGAGCCCCCAGTAAGATGATTAAAAAAAAAAAATGTCCCAAGATTATGAGCAGATTTTAAGGAAAAATTGTATGCTATGAAAGATAAATTTAAACAGTTTACTTACTGGACTAACTATGTCACATTTTAATGGTTTACCATCTAATATATGAAAAGCCTTATTAAAAGAAAATACTTTAAAAACTGAAAAATGTAAATGAAAGCCAAAGCAGAAGAAACAAGTGACATGAACACTGAGGAAACCATCAGTGACCAAAACGGTTAGCTACAGCAATAGTTAAAACTACTTCTTCCCAAATTAAGCCAGATATAGAATCTTCTAATAACTAACAAACATGCCAGCAAACTTGCCATAAGTAGACTGGGGGGGGGGGGTGTTGTTAACCTTCAGTCAATATTGAAATTTGGCTAAACATCCCTTAATTTACTAAGAAGCCATACTATAAAGCCATACTGGATACCTGGCCCTTAGGGATCTGTGATGCTGGTCACATTGCCAAATACCAATTTATGTAATTAGCCAAGTTACCCATTTAAGAACCTGATTCCCAATACTTCTCTTCTACTGGAGAATTTTTGAAAGCTACCAGGTTCAAAAGGAGACATAGGTGAGACGGTTCCTGAGAGTAAAAACTGAACCACCTTGATTGTAAACCAGTACATTAAGCATATCAGAACAAGCACTGGTTAAGGCTTTTAGACTACCTCTAATCACTTCTACTCCCCTTTGAGATGTGAAAGCATTAGCAATGCAGACAACTTCAGTATTGACCCGAATTAGATACATACCCACTCAGAATCATGTAACTAGAAATAACTTTTATCTTGCATGTACCGCCTTTTCTCTTTTATTGTAATCGAGCAAGAGCTCACAAGCCTACACAGGGTCCCCTGAACCTCAGTATCACAGTAAACAAATACAAACACGCCCCCCCCAAAAAAGGACAATATACCCTTAAAACCAGAAGTACTTAGTTAAGCCATAAGCCACCCCATCCTTACCACCAATTTTTATATTTCTACGTTTTTTTAGATTTCTGTTTATGGAACGCTATCTCTAACAGCTTTCTACTCATGTGATTGCACAATAAGCAATTAGCTAGAATCCCAAGTTCGAATAAAAGGTGAAAGTTCGTTAAAAGGTTGAAATTTGCTGGACTAAAAAGGTCAGCAATTAGATCACGTTTATGTACACTTCCTGCAGAATCATTCAAGTAGCATCCAAATGAAACAGCTTCAAGAGAAAAGATCAGTAGATCTGACTAATGCCAACCATTTACTTATAAGAAATAAGCCACTCAGAATAAACAATGGCCTACAAATTTAAACTTCACAGGAGGACTGTTTCCACGTAGAGTCAAACAAATTGCTTTCTATAAAGTGCCGCACAGTTTCAAAAATCATTAAACTCTACCAAAGGTTGTCAAATAAGTATCAGGGATGGCAGTGAGACGCACAAAATACGATTGCTATAAACTCACCTGGATTATGCTTTAATAAAAATATTGTTATCATCCACATCCAGATTTCAAGTTTGGACTAAATATATTGTCAAACCAGTCAAGAAAATAAGTTAAGAATAAATCACTATTATTGCATTACCATAAAAAGAATCTGTAAACCATAAAGAGCTCTACAAAAATCAAAGTTCAGGTAACTTGTTGGCCTTACAGAAAATGGACAACAGCTACGTTAGTTTTCCAGATTCAGGTCTCTAAACTGTCGCCGTTCCATCATTGTAATTATCTTACTCACCAAGTCTCTCCAACGGAAGCAGGGAGGCATTAGGGTTCAGTCGTTAGAAAACGCGTGTGCTAAACAGCTCTGTGTGTGGCCAGGAGGTCTATTCACTGATCTGTGTTTAGGCTGTGTCTTCCACAGTTGTGATTAGAGACAATACAGTGTGAATTAAATGACAATCTATCACAACATATTAAGATCGGGAGGGCGCCTAAACCATAGGGCTGTTTAAGTTTTCTAACCTAAAGCTAAAGTGCAATTCGACTAACTTTCTGGGGGTGCCCTACTCATATAAAGCCTAGAAATAATTGTTTTGAGACTCCGATTCTACTGCTCCTCAAGCAGTTTTCAAAGGGTCGAGGGACAAGCACACAAGCCCCACATCAAGATCTATTTATTCTAAGAGATCTTAACAGTCCAAGAGCCTGCAGACAAGGAACAAGACCAAACAACTGGCAAAGCTGGGTGTGAGCCATGTGGGAGACGCTTTGTGCCATCATTACACTGTTTCTGTAAATCTGGGGAAAAAATCCTAACATTTCAAAATGTTACTGTAATTTTTTTAAAGATAAAAATGAGTAACACCTAATGGAACCGGCAGACCTTACCTAGCTGAAACACTAATGGGCCAAGGCAAGAACTTTGTGCTGAGGAAGACCTGGCCATGGAGCACTCTGACAAATGGGGAATTGTATCTAAAACCAGACACTTCGCTGTGATGACAGACCTTACCGGTAGAAAGTAATTCTCTTCTGTATTTTTAGAGTTAACTTAAAAGTAAGAAAACGAGAGAGTCATTCTCAAAGGAAAAAGATGAAGCTAACAATTCTTAATTAACTTTTTACACAAAATGGAATGTGTGGATATTTGCACTTCCTGTGGGAAGAGACTTCTCTATAGAGCCCCATGTGTATCCCATCAGCAAAAGTCCAATGAAAGCAACAGGCTTAAGTGTTAACTCTTATGCTAAATCCCATTCCTCAAGTCCAATGAGAACTCAAAATTCCAAACCAGATTATCTCAAATTACTAGAGGGAGTGAGACTTTAAAAAGTTTTCCGATATACGATGATTTTCTTCAACAAGTTAGACATACTACCTCTCATTGAAAATAAAAATAAACAGGTAACATCACTGTAATACCGGACAAAGATTTCCATTTCCTAATCTACTTTATTTATACGACTCTGTATTTCCAAAAGTGAGTATTCATTTTTATTGTCCTTATCCTACCACTAAGTCCGTGGGCACTACCGTAAATAGCAGGTGTAGAGAATACCAGGATTCTCACCAGGACTGCTCAATTTTACAAACATTGGCATCGTTGGCCCTACCCCACTAAATACCAGCAGCAGTATAATGCAGTCTAGGTGGGAACAACCCTACAAGTTGAACATCATTAAACCCTCTTACGCCTCTGGGTGGGCGAAAGAACTGTTTGGAAATACACAGTTCAGTACATACTGTGGAAAATAATTTCAGGGTCTCTGATCATTTACAACTTGAAGTTCCTACAACTTTATCCCCCCCCCCCAAAAAAAAAATAACAGACTAATTTTTGCTTTCTACCACAAGCTTAATATAAGCTACAAAAGTACAAGCTGAATTTCTTTAAATTATCACTGGCCTGTGCTAAAGAAGTTACCTGAAGTGATCCAAAGGGCAGCTGTGGGACTCGGATACTGAAGGTTGTTTTCTTTTATGGGTAAGGGATGCAGCCAATTTTCAAACAGTTGCGGTCCTGAGGCCCTACCTGGTTATGTCAAACTTCATTTTAGTCTTTACAGCTCAAGACTACACCCCCTCAGCAAACACTTTCTCAGTAACTGCAAAACAAATAAAACACCCCTAATTCCTATTTATGCTACCCTTAAACACGATCCTATAGAGGAACACTGTTGGGAAGAAATTAAATAAGTTATATTTCACAACCAGGTTGTCCTTCAGTAAATGGCAAGTTACCACACAGCTTGCTTCACAAGTGTGTAAACAAACCTTCATCCACCGCACACACAGCACCCAACAAATGGTATCATTTGTAAAATGAGTCTTAAATCTCTATTACCAGATTACATTTTCTTCCAGAAATATTTTAATAAAAATTGGCCATTCCAACAACACCCACTCCACGCCCACCAACGAGAGAACCAGCACAGAAAAGTACAGGTGTCACCCGGCTACGAGCTAAAGGGAAGGACGAAACCCAGCAGACACCGAAGCACAGGAGCCACGTCCAAGTCCAGCCCCATTCCCTCTGCTGGGCTCCGGGGAGCAATCAGAGGCGAGCGAAATGAAAGCGGAGACACACGGTCGAGCGGAGACACACGGTCTGTCGGAGGCCCTCGGTGGAAGCAGGTGGCCTCCCAGGCACACCGTTTCAGAGGAGGCAGACCACACATGACCGTGAACAAGGGACGGAGAAACCCCCAGACTCTGAGCCAATAAAACGGAGCTGGAGGTTTGTTTTCATTCTTTTCCTTTGAGCGACTGCCCAGAATGAAATCAACGATACATAGAAGGCACAACAGTTTTGCTGTTTGTTTGTTTTCCAGATTTGGGTTGGGTTTTTGTGGTTGTTTTTAAACAAATACAAAGTAAACACAGAAAAACGACCTCACAAATGAACAGGAGGAACGGGGACTGGCTGCACTCTGCACACTGAAAGCCTCGCTCACAGTTTAATGTCCATGTGAAAACAGCAGGGTTTGATGGTGTTCTAGGGCGTCCAAAGGAAAAACCCATTTCTACCCACACGACAAGAATCAAAATTGTCCATTTTTTCAATGGCAATTTCTCTACACCAGAGGGTAATCGTGACTCAAAAGAAGAAACAATTTCAGCTTTTCTTGCCTTCAAAATGTTTTATCAAATCCCGTCTTTCTGACGGGCTTTTAAAACACGTAGAAAATAAGTAAGAAATATTCCAATGAACTAAACATACCAAATGTCAGTAATAAGCAGGACACATTCCTTTGGGGAAATGGCTGTTTTTTAAAAAAATCCAGTCTGTATATGCAAGAGAATTCAGTCTTTTTTTTTCCTTTTTCCTGTCTTCTTTAAAAATTCATTTTCCTAAAATGTCATTCCACAAAATTGGAAGTGAGGGCCCGGCGATCAGGAGCGGAAGGAGCGGGAAGGGTGCGCCGTGAGCAGAGAGAGGGGCACAGTGGACCAACGGAAGCGTTCTTAACAGACTAGGGTAGGGTCACCATCCGAGACACCGAACGAAGGCTGGCGGAAGAAATCCACTCTTCTGCAGGAACAGTGGTTTGTACTGCCACGTGCCGAGCAGTGACCCAGGTATTCACGGCCTTGGAGCAATGCCCCTTCCCACTCCGAAGCCCGGTTTCTGCACCAGGCCTCCGCGGGGAGGGCCTCTCATTCCACCGCCCAGCCCACCCCGAGGGCCTCCAGGTCCCCGCAGGCGGTGGTCTCGACGGTCTCCTTCCCTGGCGGCTCGAGTCTTCTTCTCTTCGACATTCAGACGGACTTCACCTCTGAACATGATCGGCTGCAAGAATCAAGGAAACCACACTTCACTAGAGTGCTTTTGAGCGATTTATCAAAGCTGAAAGATACTATTACCAAAAATCAGCAGCTGGTAAGTGGTCTCAGTTTTTGTTTGCACTGGCTCAGTAGACTACAGCTAATTTTTTCTGTTGAGTTTAGCACACCATATGTTCAAATGGCACTTGAGATCGGGGTTCTCTCTAAGGTGGCAACTGGGCAGCCGTAAGGTAGAAATCAAATTTATAGTCCTTACTCTTTTTTATCATTCATCTGCGCAACAGCATATTCAAAGCGCCAATAGTCCAAAGTTATAAAAAGTGACCTAGAACTATGCTTGTTAATATATATTCACTTCACAAAACTGCTTATGCTTTTGATGAAATACAATTTTTATTCCCTAGTATGTTACTTCAGTAAACAAGCATATAAAGAGAAAAAGTACCAAATCACCAGTATTTGAGCTATGTGTTACACCTCAAATTCCCATGAGGTATTGTGAGTCAATGATGGAATTCTTGAAAGTGATCAACGACCTAAAAAATTGTCAGAACGATTGCTGTTAAGTTCACTTAAATGGGATATTTGGGGGGGGGAGGGATACTGCATCTAACTTTTATTTATTTAAATTTTTCCCCCCTTTGGGGGGGAAATATATACATATATATATATATAGAGAGAGAGATTTTCAAGTTTAAAAAAAATAATTTTATTGGGGGCCCATACAACTCTTATCACAATCCATACACCCATCCATTGTGGCAATCACATTTGTACATTTGTTGCCATCATTTTCAAAACATTCTTTCTACTTGAGCCCTTGGTATCAGCTTCTCATTTTTCCCCTCTCTCCCTCATGCACCCTTGCCCCCTGGGAGGGGTTTATATGTAGATCATTGTGATTGGTTCCCCAAAAAGGGGATTTTCCAAAGATGAACATAGTTATTTTCACATAAGTCACCTGTTTCTAATATATCAATCACAATAACTATTGTCTTCTTGGCCTACCTCTAAAGGAATGGGGTGCTACCCCTACAGTGAAAAGATGGTTAAAGATAAATTACACAGCTGGTGATGCTCGGGGGAAAAAGTGAGGAATGTTGCAAGTGTGGACACCAATCAAGGGGCAATGTGGAAATATATTAAATAAGAGTCTCAATTGTTTTATTTACTATTTTTCTCATTAATAGTTTAAAAGTCTTATAATCCTGCTTGGTTACTTCTTATTTAAGTATCAACTGTAAGAAACAATCAAGTCTTTCTTTATACGTAAAACAGTCGAACCGGCTATTCAATTATTTGAACCCCCCATTGCCCGCAATGCTGAGTGGTGGAGGAAGAAACTGACTAGGGAAGTTTTTAACCCCTATGCTTCTCTTGCCTCTACCCAAAAAAGTCCTGGTGGTGTAATGGATCATGTATTGGGCTGCTAATCATAAGGTATGCAGTTCAAAACCAGCAGCAGCTCCCAAAAAGAAAAATAAAATTTCCTACTCTCGGAAAAAGTTAAGTCTCGGGAACCCAAAGGACCAGTTCTATGTGGTCCTATGAGATCACTAACTCAGAACGAGCCTGACGGCATTAAGTTTGGCATTTTGATACTCCCCTATAGCACACCACACTTGATGAGAGTCATCAGTCTTATACTAGCTATTTCTGTACTCAAAATAATACTGAGGAAATCTACAAAGACTCTTACAAACAGTACACTGAGATCAAACAAAGACAGGATACATATAAACCAAAAAAGTACAAAGGAGTAATGAGGTGAGGAAACGGATTTCTCTTTTAAAAAAATAGTCTTTGACCGAATTCTCATTTACATTCCAACTTAAATTATATGTACATGTGTCTCATTTCACAAATATTAATTTGGGATAGTGCTCCAGGTGCAATACTCTGGATACAAATGAAAAGGGAGAACATAAATGAGGAAATAAAATTACAACATAAAATAATTTAAAGAAAAAAATCTAAAGTCTGAAAGATAAAGGCGAAGAGATGCTGGGCTGGGAGGATATTTTTTAAAGTGCTACTAAAAAGTTGCTGGGTTGTCACAATCTAATATCAGGCATTCATGAGGAATATTATTTCAAAGCGATTATTTTGCAAAAAGATGGCATGGCCTAGTCAGGTGGATTAAACTAAATAAATCCCTTAATCTTGGATAATTCACTAGGCAAGTTTATCAGTGATCAGATCTTGTTTGGACCACTGAAAACACAAATCTAAATGCAAAGTCACAGAACACACCCGATATATACTGAATGACATATGGGAGCAGGAGACCACTGTCCTCATTTCTCAGTGTTTTGCAGAAGTTTTCCAAAACGAGTGTTCGAGCATTCTGGGAGACTCAGTGCAGTGTTCTGATGTGCAGACACCAGACTGTGCAGTATGCTCCTTAGCATTCTGGAGAACAGCGCGGTAGCTTCTGAGACATTCCTACCTATGTTTCTGTCATATGGTTTAAAATGTGTAGTTTGGTAAAACAGAACCAAAAAGCGGATTCGTATTTTCCAGAGATTAGGGGAAGGAAGAAGTGCGAAGTGACAGAACTAGGATGCTTCAGAACTTAAAATGGGGATGGTTACACTAAATGCTGTTGACTCACACTTTAAAGTGGTTGTTTTTATTATGTAAGTTCCACCTACATTTTTAAAATCTAGTGTAAAAAGCCCACCACTATATCTCAAAAAGTTAACATGACTTGTTCTTCCTGGCTGAAGACAGGAACCTGGGAAACACAGTATTCTTGAAGCTGCCAAGATCATCCCTCTTTGATACAAAGTACACCTCGAAGTTCCGTTAGGTTCCAAGTGGGGTGACTATGTGTTTATCTTCCAGAACTCAAAACTCACTGCTGTCAGATTGACTCTTAATTGCAACCCTATAAAACACAACACAGCAATCACCGGGTTTTTAAGGCTGTGTGGAAACAGAAAACACATCCATGGTAGCTGTTGAGGTTAAACTGCCAACCTTTCTATTAGCAGGCAAGCACTTAATCACTGAGCCCCGGGGGCACCCATCTAGCTTCCAAACACAGACAATGTGTAGGATTAAAGGAGATACTCTTCAGAGTTACATACAAGCTACAGTTGTATTCCTAGATGGCCCTGGACAAAGAGGCTCTTACATTATCTTAGTTAAAGGTAACATTGTATTTCACATCCATAGCAGAAGCCACTGGCATACTAGCAAAAGGAATTTACATATATCTCAGTGCCTTGTTTACTATGAGCTTTGTTTTGTTTTCCATTCTCAACATTCACTTATTCAAAAGCAGCAAGTTATTTGGATAGAAGTTTGTTTTTTTTAATAATCTACCAAGCAAGTCTTTTAAGAAAAACGGCCAAATGTGATGACATACACATTTAAGGTTTAGACATAAGGATGAACACGTTCTAAAGAGCCAGGAGTTAAGATACAGATGCATATTTTAACGTCAAGTTGAAAAATTACTTACTCTGTTGCTAAGAACCTTCTGAACTGGTTCAGAGTCATCAAACACAACAAAACCAAAATTAGGTAATTTCCCGCCGCTATTGATGCGCAGCTCCACCACATTCCCATAATCTGCAAGCAAAACATAGCTTTTCAGATAACCTACTATACAAAGCTCCAGAAACACTCCGTTTAAACATCAGATGTACACCATTCAACAGATACTGTGTCTGCATGTGCAGACACTGAAAACTGAAATGTGCAGGACCGAATTGGCATGTGCCATAGTGTGAAATAGTGTAAATAGATTTGATATAGAAAGTTAAAATGATGGCTAGATAGGTATTTCCACATAGCAAAATGATATTTTAAATACATTGAGTTTAAAAGAATGGTATTACAATTAATTTTCTATTTTCTTTTTAATTCTAACAAGACCATTAAAGACTTTAAAATCCGTGTGTGGCCCAGAGATGGCAAAGGCCTTGTGGTGGACAGACAGAGAGCGCACATCACCCAGAGGGTTACTACCCTTGTAATCAAATCAGGTCACAAGGTGACAACCTTGTCAGTACTCTCCCCCTTCACCCAAGACAGAATTGCTCGCATTTCCTGCTTTGAGGTTTTCTTTGTGTCACTGTTGTGGGGCTGTTTGTTTGTATTCTGTGTTAATTTGCATGCTTTTCTGTGTATGAGGCCCAGCACAGGTAAACCTACAGAGACAACAAGTGAATCAGTAGATTCAAAGTGACATGACAGGAGCGGCTGGCAGGAAACGGGTAGCTAACAGCAAGAGGACAAGGAAGAAGAAAGGTGCTGGAATTGACTGTAGTGATGACTGTACAACCCTTATGAATGTGACTGAACTAGTGAACTACATGACATGTAAACTGCATGTTGGTGAAGTTCTTAACAATAAACTACTACATTTTCTAAGTGTTTGTAAGTGGTTCACCTCCTATTTCTATTGGACGGCACTGCACTACATGAATTTAATGTTCAAAATGCAATGACATACTTTGAAAGAAATCCTTAAGCTCTGATTTGTCCACCTCATGGGGCAGGTTGCCAATGAAGAGCTGGTGGCTGTCAGGGTGTCTCACAATTCTTCGAGGTTCAACATCTCCTTGCTCACCAGCCTCACGAACTGGAATAGCAATTTACAGAGACAAATGATACCTTATATCAGAGACTGATCCATTCACTAGTTTTCTCTCTAGCCTAATTACAAATAATCCCACCAGCCCTGCTATATTAAAAAATAATCAAACATCACCCCCTCCATTCCAAACAAACAAACTCTCATACATCAAAATCTGCCACCCCTCTAAGCTCTTTCTTACTTGGTCTGGAGCCCCTCTGGGGAGGAATATTGATTCGTTGCTCTCGAACTCTTTGATCCCTCTGAGGCCTCTGCGGCGGAATCTGAGATTCAGGCTTAGACTCAGGACGGGGCTGAAATGAACATTTGTGTAAAAATCAAGCAGGTGTATACTGGTTTGTTGCAGCATGTCTTAGCTGACAATGCGATTTAAACTACAAAACAATTTGCTCCCGAAAGTCACAAAAACCACCTACAAGCAGGCCGGTCAGTTCTACCCAATCTAAACTCTAAAACCACACCACATGAGCTACAAGTGGATTGACCGATTGTCCAATTTCAACTAGAATCTCACCTGTGAAGCTGGGACTTTGACAACATGAGGTGGAATCCCAGTAACTGGAACAGCTCCACTGGGTGGAAGGTTCTTGCTGGTTACAGATGCCCAAGAAAATGTCTAAGGGAACGATATCAGCATCATGTGATTACAGTGTGTCTCAAAAGATACTAAAGCCATTAACTGACTTTCTGTACATAATATCTGCATAAACTGCTCACAGTCACAGTGCGGTTTAAAAGTATATTGGGTTTTTTTTCACTCTACTCACAATTTAGTACTAACATTCCTTAGGATTGAACATCAAGCATCAGGAAGATATGAGAGGCTTCAAGTCAAGGAAGCTAAAAAGAGCGAATTGCACGTTTGTAGCCAAAGGACATTCTCTCTTCTCCAACAGCAGTTCTTCCTGTGCCTCTCTCCCACATCTCTACCCATGGACCAGATTATAACCCAGTTATGTCAACTTCGGAGAGATTTTGAATACCAGGTTCCACTATTCTAAACCTTAAATATTCTTTGCTCACCCTCACGCTCATCTAAGCCTCCTCTCCCACGACTACTATCCACAGCTGCCCGATTGGTCATTCATTCCTAATCCAGCAACAGACTCTTCCACTGGGAAACTAAAATGTCATTCGGAATAGTACACATCTGAAAGTGGTCATTCCTGTGATTGGCTCCCACTTCTCTTGGAATAAAGATCTAACTAAAATATTAATAGCACACAATGCTGTAGGTTGGCCCTCCTTCGCTCCATCCTTACAACTCTCCTTCCTACTAAATTCTGTCCTACTGAGACTTTTCATCGGTTCCCTTCTTGGACATCTCACACCTTCCTCTTCCTTTAAGTCTTTCCTGAACACAGGAGTACATTAGATACCTCCCTGTAAGGCTTCATGACAATTCCCATTTCCATATAGCACCTAGCACAACATTTACTAAAAGATTATTTACCAATTTTTGCCTACTCAACTATTAGTTGTCAGAGAGCAAGAACCCTAGCTGTTCCACAAATTTAGACCCTACAGGTAGGGCAATGGCACACAACAAGCACCTGAATTATTAAACTGTCAGAGACAAATAGCACCTTGAGGACCTTAACTCCGTAAGTATAACACTGAAAAAAATAGTCCTCCCCAGACTCAAAGTTAAAGACAAGGTTTGCTAATATAGTGATAAAACACCTGAAATGGCTAACCTAAGGGTCATTCAAGTTTCTTTATGAGGAAAAGTTACTTTGAATTTGCATGACAATATGCAATCTTCCTTGTCTGAGGGACGAACATGCAAGTTATTTCCCTGAACCACTAACATGACAATGCACCTAACAAAATTGAACCAAATAATGATTAAGGAGGAAATGCTTTCTAACACAAAGCAAAAGGAGAAATGAACATATGGTCCAAACCCTCAAGTCTTCCTGCACCGTCTGAGCCCCGTCTGCAGGGGCCGGGGAAGAACTCTTCTGAGCATCCTCAGGAGCAGTTTCTTCTAAGGCAGGCTCAGATTTTTCCTCCTGGATTTCAGGTACGGGCTCCTGCTCTGGTTCTGGTTCAGGATCAGGCTCTGGTTCAGCAACCGGTTCCTCTAAATGTTCTTCTAAGTCATTGCTTTCAGAGAAAAATGAGAAATTATCATTCTGCCTCTGCTAAGAATTTCTCATGTGTTTATTAATTAACACTAGAGACCTGGGGGCCAAAACAGCTCCTTTTCCATAAAAGATCAAAGAATCATATGTCTGAGTATAGCAATAAGTAACTTGGTGAAAAGCACTAAAAAGATCATCTTAACTGTAATCAATATTATTTGTTACAAATTCTGCTAAGACTTGTTTAATGACCAAAACAGATCAAAATGCACAAAACAATTATGTTTCAGTTTGAATCCCAAAATTATGACCTATCATGCAACATGACCAAAAAAGTCTCATAACAAACACCTTAGGAATACCTGTTAAAACTATATGTACTTACTTCTCTTGCCAAAACTCTAACTCAGTATTGCCTGCGGTGGGATAATTAAGCTTCATCTTTCAACCAGTAATTGAAGTGAGCAATAAATATTGAGTCCCCATGACCACACCTGCTAAAGCACTGTAGGAGTTAACTGTATGGAAAAATAATCTAAAATAGCATGATAGTTGTTGTCTGAGGCCATTAAAGTTCTTTATTGCTACTAACTCATGGTTGAACTTTTTTTATACCTGTTAATTAAATAGAAGTTCTTAAATCCTCTATTATCGGTCCCCCAAAGCACCTGACAGAAATCCAATCACCTATATATTTATTTACTTACCACTAAGATAACACTTTTACAAAGATACTAATCAAATAGTTCTCTATGGAACAAAAAGAGCCTTGGTGGTATAACAGGTTCCATATTGGGCTACTACCTGCAAGGCCAGCAGTTCAGACCCATCAGCAACTCTTTTGAGAGGAAGAGGGAGCTTTCTGATCCTGTACAGGCTAACAGTCTTGGAAACCCACAGGGGCAAAACCCTGTAGAAATCTTGTCCTACAGGATAACAACGAGTCAATGACTCAATGACGGAGTCTGGGTTTTGAGTATTATTAAATAAAGGAGCCCTGGTGGTGGTGTCAGGTCCGCAATTGTCTGACCACTAACCATAGGTCAGCAGCTCAATCCCACCAGCTCGTTTGTGGGAGAAAGATTTACAGTCTTGGAAACCCTAAACAGGATTAATACAAGGAGAAACTGACTTGAAGGCTGTAGGTTTTAGGTTATTATTTTTAAAGTTATGTAACAAATGAGATAAGGAGGTTCAAAAAGTTCATGGAAAGATTGAGTGAAAAGAAAGTGGCATTTTCCCACAAACTTTTTGAAGCTGCGTGGTATATTTTCGCTAGCTCAGAACCATACCTAAAGTACCAAACCCAACTGATGAGTTTCACAGCAAGCCCTGCATCCAAAAGCTAAGCCTTTTCCTGAAAAAAATGACTATTTGTGAAATGATTCTGAGAATATATGGCCATCCTCCAACAAAGGGAAAGACTAGATAGCCAATTTCCATGCTGCCCTGGACACACACACACACATGAACAGTTTTCCTACCTGACAGTCTGATCATAAAATGCTCCAGAATCATCAGGTACCACCTCTGGTGTCTGCTGTCTTTCTTCAGGCTCATCTACTTCTTCTTCGGATTCTAAGTGAGGGAGAGGCATTTAACACAACTTGTGCTTACTAATTCACAAACACACATTAACCCCTCAGTACCCAGTGGTACTGGTTGCAGGAGTCCCTGCAGATAAAAAAGTCCATGATACGCAAGAACTTCGTGAAAATGACATAGTATTTATTTGCAC